GGGAGATTTTGAAGCTTGTGAAATCCACATTGATACCATTGGGCTGCAGGGTTCCCAAGCGGAATATGAGTTGCAGTTCCTGCAACCTTCGGGTGGCATCGTTGTGGCACTGCAGGAGGCCCAGGATGGACATGTCTTCTGAGGAATGGGAGGGGGAGTTGAAATGGTTCGCGAATGGGAGGTGCAGTTGTTTATTGCGAACCGAGCTTAGGTGTTCTGCAAAGCGCTTTCCCTGATGTAGAGGAGGCCACAACGGGAACAGCGGATGCAGTATACCACATTAGCAGATGTGCAGGTGAACATCTGCTTGATGTGGAAAGTCTTCTTGGGGCCTGGGATGGGGGTGAGGGAGGAGGTGTGGGGGCAGTTGTAGCACTTCCTGCGGTTGAAGGGAAAAGTGCTGGGTGTGGTGGGGCTGGAGGGGAGTGTGGAGCGGACAAGGGAGTCACGGAGAGAGTGGTCCCTCCGGAAAGCAGATAAGGGTGGGGAGGGAAAAATGTCTTTGGTGCCGGAGGATGATGCGTTGGATCCTGAAGTTAGTGGGATGGTACGTGAGGAAGAGGGGGATTCTTTTTTGTCCGGAGGTTGGTGGGGTGGTACGTGAGGACGAGAGGTTGGTGGGGTGGTCGGTGAAGTCAAGCTTACCAGACTTGCCTTCCTTGTTGTTCTTCAGGGAGGCGATGGCCTAGTGGTATTATCCCCGCACTGTTAATCCAGAGACCAGATCATGTTCTGGGGACCCAGGTTCGAATTCCGCCACAGCAGATGGTGGAACTTGAATTCAAAAAATATCTGGAATTAATCTAATGATGACTATGTATCCATTGTCGATTGCCAGGGAAAAAAAACCATCTGCTTCACTAATGCCCTTCAGGGAAGGAAACTGCCATCTTTATCTGGTCTGCAGACCCACAGTAATATGGTTGGCTCTTAACTGCCCTCTGGGAATCTAGGGATAGGCAAAAAATTCTGCCTAGCCATTGACACCTTCATCCTGTGAATGAGTAAGGGATCTTCAAAGTACCTTCACTTATTTGGGCTGAAGTGCTCCATCTTTCTCTATAAATGAGGACCATGAATATCGACCTAATACTCGGTGGTCTGTCCAGTTTCCACTTGCTAGGACTTTTGACTCTTAAGTTAGAGGAACTACACTTGGGACAGTGGTCACTCTGATATGATCTAAGTACCCTGTTGAATACTATCCCAATGTTTAGGGATCACACTACAATCTCTGTTCATCCAGGATGAAAGAAGTTGTTCTTGGACCCTTCAACAGGTGACCAAGACATGGGGATGCCTAAAGTTCATTCTTTGATTATGGACAAGAGGGAATGTAAACAAGTTGAGTGAGTGGTCAAAAATCTGGCAGACAGAGTTTAATGTACGAAATTGAGAGGCCATGCACTTTGATAGGAAGAATCAAAAGGCAGATTATTCTTTAAACAAAGACTCCCAAAAAAGTGCAGAGAGGCCTAGGTA